TATTTGTTCCATCTTCTAAAGGAGGGAGCTTCTCTGATGATGACTGAAGAAGGCACTGATCTATGAGTATATCAGAATGTCATTAGGAATCATTTTATTGCTACTTTTTAAAAACCACAGTAGTATTTGGTTTTACCATATGTTCTTGATCACCCAAGCAGTGTTGGGTGTAGGTTCCATCTCGTGAAGTGGGCCTTAAATGACATCAGATATGGTTTTAAGCCTCCTCTGCACTAGCATATCTTGCAGACAGGATAGTTTGTGGCTAGATACGTGTTTCCATTTCTCTTTTGGTAGCATGCAGATTCCTTCACCAAAATCCTGGTGGTAAAGGCAGTATGTAGGCACCAGCTCAACTTCTCCATGTTCAGTGAGTTGGGTAGGTGTTGTCTTATACAATGGGACTTTGCTGTCAGTTTTCTGAGGGGAAAGGATAGTCTTGGCAACAGCCTGAGTTGTTTGGGGATTCCCATGGGACCTTTTTGGCCAACAGCTCAATTAGATGAAACCCAGTTCCCGGCCTGGAACTATTTCCAGTTTCAGGCTGTTGTGGATAGATCAACAATGAATTCAGTTGGGCAAGTGTCTCTGTGGAAGGATGATGAATCCTTTGGAAATATGGTATAGCTGGATCTTGAAATAGGTAGATTGCCATCCTCGTACTGATTTCTATAGTAGCTGTACAAGTTTGCACTTCTGCCAGCAATGGACCTGTATTTCCCTTGCTCCCCATCCTCTCCAGCATGGGCTGTCACTTGTTTCAGTGATCTTAGCCGTTCTGACAGGGAGCATTATTCTTAAAGCACTACTTAAACACAAAACCTTACTCTTATTGTTTGTTTGGTCTTCACTGCGGCAAGTGCTCTCATGTGGCTTTGTGACTTTGCTTACTGTTCCGAGTGTAGAACAGCCTAGGAAGGGGAGCTCTTTCTGCCTCAGTATTGATAGTGTAACAGAGATGTCCTTCTACTTCCCCTGGGACTGCTGTGTTCCTTGTTGAAAGGATCCAGGTAAGGCACAGTGAAGAAGACAGGTGATATTAACTAGAGCAAAGGAGATGAGCGTGGGCAGCGAGCAAAGCAGCCGGCAAAGGAAACGCTCTCCAGTGTGAGGGCGACAGAACCAGGCACCATCTTACAGAGCTACATGTCTAGGGAGACATCATGCTGTGTAAAGTCTGTAACATTTTCCTGCCCAGATCTTGGACAGGCCCATTAGGATTCTTTTGTTCTTTTTAATTAACTCTTAGGAGACTGACAATATTAGTCTTTGTTCTTTGTCAGTTTTAAACAAAAGCATATAACAGAGATTTTTGTTTTTGTGTTTGTTTTTTGTGTTTTTTGTTTGTGTTTGTTTGGTTGGTTTGGTTTTGGTTTTTCAAGGCAGGGTTTCTCTGTAGCTTTGGAACCTGTCCTGGAACTAGCTCTTGTAGACCAGGCTGGCCTTGAACTCACAGAGATCCGCCTGCCTCTGCCTCTTGAGTGCTGGGATTAAAGGCATGCCATCATCACCTGGCTTCAGAGTAAATTTTTTTTAATTAAAAAAAAAAGTCTATAAAATAGCTTTGCTTTACCAGGAGAAAATTGTCTTCTCTTAGGGCTTCAACAAAACCTTGCTGCATCTGCATTTCTTTATTTTAAATGGTGTTTCGAATTCTGAGACACCAGAGGTTGGGGTTGAGAACTCTTTGTGATCGACAGGTCAGTCTTCAGTGACACTCGACAGTGATGTGACTTGGCTACCGCTGTGTCAGTAGAATAGACATACTATTATCTGAGGAACTTGGGTCATAAGGATGAACCTTGACTGAGGAAGTCTGGAGGAATTTAACCTGCCTGCTTTGGGATAGGAAGGAAATGATTGGCTCAGGATTTCTCTGTAACTGACATTTTTCTTCCGTGTTAGCTAATTACTCAAACTGAAGCAACAAAAGGGATAATACCCTCTTACCTACAAGTTCAGCAATTCCAATGCTGAGGGACATTTACCTTTTCCGTCCTTCCTTCCTTTCCTCCCTCCCTCAACTACAAAGGACAGTTGAATGATGTCATTGTAACAAAATAAACTCAGTCTCAGCTTCCTGCTTCTTACTGCCTCCTTCAAGTAAATTCCTGAGTCCTGAGGCAGGATTGCTTGTTCTTTATTCTGTATTCCCCCACACTTTATACAGGCTGCTATAGCTGGCTAAAAAGTGGTATTAGGCCAGGAGTGGTGGAGCACACCTTTAATCCCAGTACTTGGGAAGCTGAGGCCCGCATGACTCTATGAGTGAATTTGAGTCAAATCTGGTCTATTGAGTGAGACCCTGTCTCTAAAAAAGAGGAAGAAAAGTAAAATGAACGTGAAATTGCAGCACTTCAATGCTTAGCACAGAGTGAGATGAGCATCCGACGAATGATGGAAGAGAGTCGAGATACTTATGTTGCTCCCAGCCCCAAGAACTTCATAGACTGTAAGGAGAACCAATGTGTAGGAACACATTTAATGTCAAACAGTATTTTCCGCTGCCTACAATACTGATGTTTGAAAAACAGCTCACTATGAGTTCACTTACACAAGAGCTCCCAGGGTGAAGGGAAATGACACCAACACAATGGCTCTCAGCATGGCAATGCCTAAGGCTAAAATGTAAGTGGTTGGAACAGGCCCATAGAACACCTAGATTCTTTGATTTTTTTAAAAAATATTTTATTTATTTATTATGTATACAATATTCTGTCTGTGTGTTTGCCTGCAGGCCAGAAGAGGGCACCAGACCTCATTACAGATGGTCGTGAGCCACCATGTGGTTGCTGGGAATTGAACTCAGGACCTTTGGAAGAGCAGGCAGTGCTCTTAACCTCTAAGCCACCTCTTCAGCCCAAGATTCTTTGATTTTGCCACTTAATGTTTTAGTTACATAAAGCATGTAAGTAATTAAATGTTTAATTAGGAGATTAAACAAAGTTTAATTATCATTATACCCCAACTTAATTTATTGTAGGAAAACTCGTGGCAATAAAACCTCAGTTAAACAAAGATCTGCTCTTCAGTTTTGCTCCTATTGGAACACTGACTAAAACAATTCCTCCTTTTCTCTGGAAGAATCACTGTTTTGTGGTTCCTTTGTTGTTGTTGTTTTGAGATTAGGTCTCGTAGCCCCCACTGGCCTTGAACTCTCTGTGTAGTACAAGCTAGTCTTGAAATCCCCTGTGGGATGCAAGAAAGTCTTAAATCCCCTGTGTAACAGGCTGCTCTTAAATTCCCAGTCTTCTGCTTTCACATCCCAAGTGTTGGGACTAACAGTGTAGCACCATGCTTAGCTATTTTGTGATTCCTTCTTTTGTAAGCTTTATTTTTAATTTATGTGTGTGAGTGTTTTGCCTGTGTGTGGTGGTATGTCTTCAGTGTATGTGCTATGCTCATGGAGGTCAGAAGAGGGTGCTGGAGCTTCAGGAATTAAGAGTTACAGGTTGTGAGCCACCAGGGCTTGCTGGCGCCTGAACTCTGGTCCTCTGCAGGATCAGCAGTAGCTCTCACCTGTGAGTCACCTCTCTAGTACCTGGTTTGTAACTCCTGACATTTAACAGGCAAATGTTGTCCTCCAGCCCACACAAACCTGGAGCGCTCCACCTGCTGCTTCTGCCTTCTGCATGCAGGTGTCATAGGCATGTACCACCTCTGATAAGACAGTTCCAATACCTGAAATGCAGCTACAACCTGTGGTGTCATTTTTAGTCAATTTGCTAAAGTCTTAGACTGGTTCAGTGGATTCTGTAAAATCACCTTCCATGCTAGGCATTGTTAACTTTGTCAAAGAGTAATTTCCTTTGACTTACTTATTCAGGCTTTATATATTGCTGTGACACACCTCTAATAAGTTCATAAACTATACTTAAAGTGGAACATTGGCAGTAAAACTGTTTAATTAAAAGCATCACCTCAGCCCCTAACATCCTTACCCAAAAAAGTCTGGAATGTTTGATTGGGGTGCTTCACCCCAGCCCCCTGGCATCCTTCTTGGAATGTTGGGCATAAACTCTGGATCAAGCCACCTCCTATGGGTGTGGCCTCAGTCCCAACTCCACCTCCAAGAATGCCTGCCAAATGGTGACCCCTCCCAAGGGAAGGTCAAGACCACTCCCACAGGCTGTTTAAACTGCCCCCTAGAGGACTAACGAGCGTGTGGTAGCCCCTTTTCCCTCTTCTGAGTTGTTCCAGTTCTCCGTGTGTCATGACCCCCCCCCACTCCCCCGCCCCCCTCGCCCCCCCCACCCCTCACCCCTGTGCCAGGAGCACTGGTGTCCATCAAACCTGGTCGTCTTCTAATTCGATCTAATTTGGTCTGATTGACTTATTGCCTCAGCAGAGAGGTTTGTTGGTCCAGAAAATACTTAACAGAAACAAATCTGAGGGTTTTTTTAAAGGATGTTAATAAATTTAGCTTTAAAAAATAACTAACCAATGACATATATACAGATTTAAGGGCATAGGAAAGAAAATCAGACTTTATTTTATGTTTACCTGTTATGTTCACCTTTGTAGATATAATTACACTAGTATAATAAAGTAACCAGAAATACAGTTTACCTATCTATCTATATGTGTGCAGATACTGGTATATTTATGTAGTGTGTGTGTGCACCAGACACTGGAATTACTTCAATCCTCTATCTGTTTACCTTTTTTAAAGTAGCCATACAGTGCCAGACTATTCAAAAGTAAATATAAATAGCTACTACCACTGTTTGTGCAGGAGAAAACATCTCTATGCTTTCTGGCCAGTTAATTCCTTACACTCCATAATACTGATCTCAAGACATAAAAATAATATTCTTGACTGACTTGAAATTGTATTATTACATGAAGAAAGGCAAAACAGAATATGAGCTTTGGTTTCTTTATGGCTAATTATCAAACATGTTCATCTAAATGAGAGAAAATGTTGTCAGTGAGCAGAATACGTTGACAGTGACGTTAGTGATCAGTTGGTTAGCCTGGCAGCAGAATGATTACAGGAGGAAAAGAGTGGCCCAAGCAATCTCCTGTGGCTGTCACCTCAGGGTCTGCTTTTCTGGGGCCGCTGAGTCCAGACAGGCTGTCCTGCTCCACAGCAGACCTGCCCCAGGGGACACAGAAGGGCTCTGTCGTGGCTTACATGGTAAGCACTTTGTAGGGTTCTAATCACTTGTTTAAAATCTAGAACACAGTATTGAAAGCCACATTTTCTCAACAAGCTTATAATGTTTTGTGTTCTATAAATATAAACATAGTCCCACACAAAATACATACACATTCTCGTGACGACTGGAAGCTAGCCAGACATCATCCACAAGCAGAACGGAATACAGAGTGCAGGAAGGGCCGTGTATGATGCCAGGCCCGTGTAGGCAATGGACAGCAATCCCAAGACAGCTGAAGCAAGACAGCTTCTCTGATCACGAATGATGGTCTTCACAGTCTCAGAAAACTGGAAAAGAAAAGCTAGGAATATTAGCAACCATGACTAAAAGAAAGCACTTACACTGCTATGTAGTCTTTCTGGTTGTTTGGTCTCTACCAGGATCGCTTGATGTTCCCAGTGACTTATGAACCAATAATATACAGAGTGTTACAGAACACTATAAAATGCACCACATAAAAGTTACCCAGCATTAAAGGGTAAAGGCAACAGTAAGTTGATTAATACTAATTACCATATTCTAAAACTGACCTCAGAAGGAAGTTGTTAACCTTGAAAAAAAATAGGCAATTCTTCTACTTCATTAGCCTAAAATTTGGTGACACCGGTTTCATCTCTTAAAGTCTAGAGGCATAGAGTCAGTCATACTGAGTTGCCATAGCAAAATTCATCATCAGTTATGTGACACATAGCTGGCTTCTGAAATAGAGACATCAAATATGGTACCCACCCGCAGTGGGTGCATTCTACTGTATCACTTCTTCACATGTAAAAAGTACTTGGAAATGGTGTTCTTGCTCTGCCTTATTTGTTGTGTGACATCAAATAAGGCATTTAAGATCTCTGTAAGTGAAATCTCAGGGCCAAATCAGGAGCAGAAGGAGAGAGCACGAGCAAGGAACTCAGGACCACGAGGGGTGCACCCACACACTGAGACAATGGGGATGTTCTATTGGGATCTCACCAAGGCCAGCTGGCCTAGGTCTGAAAAAGCATGGGATAAATCCGGACTAGCTGAACATAGCGGACAATGAGGAATACTGAGAATTCAAGAACAATCGCAGTGGGTTTTTGATCTACTGCACGTACTGGCTTTGTGGGAGCTTAGGCAGTTTGGATGCTCACCTTACGAGACCTGGATAGAGGTGGGCAGTCCTTGGGCTTCCCACAGGTCAGGGAACCCTGATTGCTCTTCGAGCAGATGGGGGGGGGGACTTGATCGGGGGAGGGGGAGGGAAATGGGAAGCGGTTGTGGGGAGGAGGCAGAAATCCTTAATAAATAAATAAATTAAAAAAAAAAAGATCTCTGTAAGTTTGAGACCAGCCTGGTCTACAAAGCAAGTTCTAAGACAGCCAAAGTTACACAGAGAAAATCCTGTCTCAAAAAAAAAAAAAAAAAACAAAACAGACATTTAGCCAGTCTGGACTTCCTTCTTTATGGGAATACCAGGGTAGCCCTGAAGATAAGTGAAATAAAAATCTTTCATATAAAAGAACAGTTGTTCTTCCATGTAAGTTATTACAATTATTACTACTGCTATATTTCTTGACAGCTATTTCTGTACCATTGTCACCGCTAGAATTTAATGCTAGAATTTAAAATTTAATAAAACCATTTCATGTGATTTTTGCTATTTCTACTAGACCCAGGATCCTTTTCTAGAGTATGGCATTGTAGATGAGATGAGATCTTGCTGTATTGCTCAAGTTGACCCAGAACTCCAGAGCTTCATGGACTATCCTGAAGCTGGGACGGTTTCTAAAATCTTTATTTTTAATGCTTTTCTGTTATTTTTAATTATGTGTATGTGTGTATCTGTGTATGGGTGCCCATGGAGTCCAGAGGTATCAACAATACACCCTACCCAGAGCTAGCGTTACAGGAGTGCGAGTGCCCATGGAGTCCAGAGGTATCAACAATACACCCTACCCAGAGCTAGCGTTACAGGCACCTGTGGGTGCTGAGAAGTAAACTTGGGCCCTCTGCAAGGGCAGTATGAACTCAAACTGCTGAATCATTTCTGCAGCCCTGGTTTTAATATTCTCTTTTTCCTTGCTTTGAGAGAGTTTCATTGTGCTATCCCTGGTTTCCTGGAACTTTCTGTATAGAAGAGGCTGACCTTGAGCTACAGGGATCCTCCTGCCTCAGCCTCCTGCTGAGGTCAAAGAGGTGCAGCACTGTGTTTGACATAATTTCTAAATTATTAGTTTAATACAGTCGAGGACCAGCCACAGATACTGGTGTAATTATATTCTGTGTTTAAGTACATAACCTAGTGATCCACGTGAAATTAAGCCAAGCTTGACTGTGTTTTAGTCCACAATGTGAATATAAGGCCATCCCTAGTCAAAGTTTTACATAATATCTAAAGAAATATCCAATATCCTATTAGCCATCCATACATCGTTTATAGGACAAACACCTAATGTTTCTTTTCGGCTACACTAACAAGATATAAAGTGGTTAAAATCAAACTGAATAAAGACTTGAGAATGTAACTCAGTTGGTAGAGCACTTACTTGCAATGTATGAAGCTCTGGGGTTAATTCCCAACACCACACAAATGAAGTGTGGTGATACATGCCAATAAATCCTGGCACTTGGGTGGTGGAGTACTAATATCAGAAGTGCAAGGTCATAACTGCCTACTTAGAATTAGACACCCACCCGTCTAGGACACAGACCCTGCTTCTCACACATGTGTGTGTGTGTGCGCACACACACACACACACACACACACACACACACACGTCTCTTTCTCCTCCCCTCCCTCCCTTTCCCTTCCTTTATTTCTCTCCCTCACTACTCTCCGTCCCCCTACTCTCTATTTATTTGACCATCAGCCCAGGAGGCATCCCCAGAAAGGCGAAATTTCTAAGACTGGAAATGTAACTCAGTTGGGTGATTGCCTAGAACTCAGCCGGCCCTAGGTTTGCTCCTCAGAACTGGGTGTGGTGAAGCATGCCTGTGGGAGGTAGAAGTAGGAGGGTCGGGAGTTCAGAGTCATCCTAGGCTAGATTAGGAGCCTGAGGTCAGCCTTAGCTACAGGAGACCGTGTCTCACAAAAGAGAGGGGAGAGGGAGCAGTAGATATGTCAGTAGATATGTAGAAGGTGTTAGGTTTGCTTTTGTAAACACCAAGACATTTGAAAAAAGGCATTTGAACCCATTCTGGCAATAAGTCAGGCAAAAGATACACTGTAGAAACGGTGTAATAAATAGTAAAAGCTAAAAAGAGAGGGACTTAAATTTCACAGTAGACTTATCCTCATTATCAGTATAAAAATTCCTCGGTTCTCTGATTTCTGAGCCCGTGTGGAGTTAATGCTGGAGCGGGGAGTGGAGATGGGACATGTTCTAAAGGCTACCTCCTGCCCACAGTAGCCAGGAACTCAGGGCAGCTGTGCTCGTTTGCACAGCAGCTGCTTCCCTTCCTGCGGTAATAGAGGCAAGTCTCAGAGGGTCTTGGGAGGGCACTCAAGGGAGGGGGCTCATTTTCCCCTTTTTAGTTGCCCATACTCCAGTAAACAATCCCCAACCCATGGTCTTACATACAACCCTAACTGTTGTGGTTTGGATAATCGTGCCCCCCATTGTCTCAAGTGTCTGAATTGTTAGTTGTCAGGAATACTGTCATCTGTTTACCAGAGCTTGCCTAGAAACACCGGACCTAAGAATGGTGTGGCTAGGGAGATGTCCAAAAAGATCCCGGATCCCGGCCCCAGCTCCTTTAGGTCTCTCCTACCTTCTCAGCCTGCGGACTGATCCGAGCGCCATATCTGCAGTAAGTCACAAAGTGTTCGCAGTTGTTCCACAGTAGGCTGTAGGGGGTCAGCCCCAATTGCTGCTCAGCCCTGCATGCCACCTCCTCGTTGTGCAATGATTTCTTCTTGAGAGTCTCGTCTAGGTGATTGACGAGGATGTCTGCTCCGTAGGCAAAGTCCTCTACTGTGTCCACACGGATGCTGGCCACCTTGCAAATGACTCCGGGGATGAGACGCTTATTGGAGACCACTTTCTGAGTACGTCCCTTGTCATTGGTCAGCGCCAACAGGATGTCAGGCATTAGATGGGCTACACGGTTGTTCCCCAGATAGATCCCGTAGTGGGTAAAATGAGTCCGTGACACCTCCAGCACATCGCCCCGGAGAAAAGAGCTGATTTCATAAGGACGGTTCCTCCCTGTCCCTCCTCCAGGAGCGCACACGCCCAAGAGCTTGAAGTTGGAGATGAGGAGCAACTTCTCCAAGAGGAGAGACACTGCTTCCAGCATCGGGTTCTTCATCATTCAGGGTACCAGAGTTTTGCGCCGGCGCTGGGCTGTGCAAGGTGAGCTTGCCGGACAGCGGCGCTACAGCGCTGCTCACCTGCGAATCAGCACGGTGGAAGACTGCCTAAATCCGGGAGAGCAAGGGAGCAGAGGAGACGACAAATCACCCGTGCTGGGGGCCGCGAAGGGGAGGAACCAGTGTCCTACAGCTGTGGGGACAGCGTTGCGGCGCTTGAGGAGCCGGAGAAGAAGCGCGCCTGGGGGCGGTGCTCCGAGTGCGCTCTTCTGCGTGCCTCTTATAGAGGTGCGGAGGGCGGGCCGAATGCGGTCACAGGCCAGAGAACAAGGATTGGGCGCGGGCGTTCTGCACCCTGGCTCTTCTGCTCGAGGACTCTGCCTCACTTGAGACCTTTAAACAGTCCACGTAGAAGAGGCCAGAGGCGTAGTCGCGCGAATGGTCCTGCACCTGTCGCGAATGGAGCGCCTTTCTGGAACTTTTGCTAGAAGTGACCTTGGTACGATTTCTGGGCGGGACCGGCTCTAAAGAGTGTTGTTACCGCAGCCCCCTCAGTTTACTAAAGAATTAGTAATCGCCAGAGTGCCCGAGCCGCGAATGCCTGCAGGTTCTACCAAAATTGAACCCTGTCGTTTTGGACACAGAGTCCAGGTGCACTCAAGTGGCACGTGGAGAAGTGGAATTGCTCGCTGGGCATCCAGCCCCCCAGCGCGAACGATCGGAATCCTACAGCTCTGGACGCTCCAAGGCTCCAGCGCCCGTTGAGCGCGCGACTTTCAACGGTCAAGAAACCCCAACGACCTCTAGCAAAACAGGAGTCCTGCCAAGTTTCCTTGATGCTAGGGTCCCAGCTTCATGTCACTCATCCAGCGTCTGTGGGTATTGGTAAAACGCTGCCGCCCTAGGGAGACTAAGGAAAACTGAACGCTGGGGCGCGGACTGAGGTCCTTGTCTTTGCGCTTGCAGGGGAATCCCGGCACAGTCGAGGGTGGTGGGGGAGCTGCCAAGGGAGGCAGCCGCTAGGGCGCTGGTTTGGCTGGGCTGGGTTCCGGGTGCCCAGACCCGCCTGGAGTCCTGTGCTAATGTATTATGTAAATGATTAAATTCCGAGGACAAAGGCCACAAGGGCAAGCCAGACTATCGCCATGAGGCTAAGAAGGCTAAGTTCTGGGCTAAGGGTGAGAACCCCCTTTCCCATGAAGGAACCTGAGCCAGGCTGAGACCGGAGGCTTCCTCTCTGGAGGACTGGGCCTTTGCTCCCAGCCTGCCTGCTATCCGCCATCTGGCTCTGTCGCTGAACTTGTGTTGATCCCACAGGTGGTTGTAAATCTCACTGCATTACTGCACCTCTAAGGAGAAAAGTGCCGCAAATCAATCAAGAGAGGAAGGTGGGAAAGAGGAGGTAGGCACGAGCTCCCATCAACCCATCTCCAGTCCTGTTCCCGTACTACTGTCTGCTGTATGCCATGCACTGTGTGCTCCCTGCCTGGAGGTTCAACAAAATCCACCTGAACTTATTTCCCACATCATCTCTCAGTGTACTTCCTTTTCCCACATGTGTAAGGCCAACAGTACCCTTTTTGACAAATTGTTTTTACTGAGATAGTGAGAAAGGGCTAGGTGAGCTATGTATGGAATAACAGGAAGCCCCCTGAGTTCTATCCAAAGAGCCCATGGTCGGAGATATCCAACTCCAGAAGGTAATCTCCTTTGATCTCTACGTGTGTGCTGTGGCTCTTGCATGCACACACAATAATAAAAGCTTGAATGCGACTATTTCAAGGAATTTTGCAGAAAAGAGACAGGACCAAATGCAAGTTTTTGTTGTCGTATTTTTATTTAAGTGGAGATTTTATGAGGGGTCTGTAGGGTTAAGCCAGCCCCTTTAGGGGGCGGGCTTGCCTCGGGCGAATGCGTATGGATAAATGGGGCGCACGGGAACCTCGGTTCTGTAAGTTTATTTAAACATTAAAGTTGTATATATTCTTTAATATCTGCCTGCATTTATTCACGCCGATACAGGGGTCTATGAACACTGAAGGAGAGACAAAGATCACAGAACAAGGAAGAACACTTACCTGTTCCCCATGACTGGTGCCTTTAATCCCAGCAGGCAGAGGCAGGCAGATGTTTGTGGGCTAGAGGCCAGCCTGATCTATACAGCCTGATCCTGTGACCCTCAGGCCAGCCAGGGCTACACATGAAAGCCCCATCTCAGGAAAGAAGAAAAAAAGAAAGAAAAACAGCATGATGACATATGTTGGCGGGAAGCAATGGCTTCAAAACCATAGAGAGTTAGCATCAGGGCAAAGGGCAGGGCTTTGCTCTCCTGCCAGGATCAGAGGAGGAGAAGAAGGTACAAGGCCTGTGGGAGGAAGGCAAAAGACCTTGGAACTAGAGGTGTCCCTTGCGTTCCTGTGTGAGGGTCTGGGCTCCACCTCCAGACCAAACCTACCAAGTGATGTTGTCACCCATCAGACTAGAGGCCCTGATGTCTGCTGTAGCCAGGGAACTCAAGACAGGGACAGCAGCATGCCGTTTGCTCACAGTGCAGTGTTAACAGGAAACAAGTGAGACCGGTGAGAGCACTGAGCTGGTCCTTGCCCCATCTGTGAGAAGTCTTCATTGGTTGACAGTCTCACTCTTGCCAATACCGACCTTCAGGACTGAATGAGTATATGGTGGGGTGCGGACGGAGGAATCAGTAATGATAGAAATTATGAGAAAATTGAACTCTTGATGCAATTCATCGAAATGATATTTATTTAGAGGCAGGCTCTCCTGTGTAGCCCTGACCTTGAAACACAGATCTGCCTGCTTCTGACTCTCAAATGCTGGCATTAAAGGCATGTGCCACCACACTCAGCAAAATTTTAAACAATTTTTTATTATATAAAACCATTCTAATGTAGCTATTATGCTCCTTAATAACAGAATAAAAATAATTATAATTTAAAGTAAATTTCTGTGTATCTCCAAAGCTTATATATTATTAATATTCAGCAGCTAATTCATGAATCATTTTAAGAGGCAAAAAAGTAAATTATAATATACAACTAAAAGGACTTCAAGAAAATCCATAGTCAGCCTCAGGTTGGAGCATTAGATATAAATATAAAAATAGACACAATTTTTCTATTATTGAAAAGTTTTTTATACAATATATTTTGATTTCAGTTTCCTCTCCCCCAACTCTTCCACATTCCTCCTCAACTACCCTGCTACTCATAACCATACCCTTCTATCTCTCCTAGGAAACAAATAGGCATCTAAGAATAACAATAGATAAAATAAGATAAAACAAAAATAAATTAGAGTAGGGGAAAAACAGAGGAAAAGAAGCTAAATAAAAAAACATAAGAAAGACATATAAATGTAGACACATGCACATTGACACATACAAGAATTCCATAAAACCAGAAAACATACAATGTTTACTCAAAAGACCTATAAGGTTAAAAAAATTGTCCTGACCAAGCACTGTGAGACTCAGTAGTACCTCCAGAAATGTCACTGTTTGTTTTGTGTTGGCCATCTACTGAAGGGTACGGGGCATTGTTAATTTGGATCGTCTTTCACCTTTTAGTTACTTGGCTAAGAGTTTGTTATTCTTACTGATTTCCTCAAAGAACAAAATCTTTGTTCTATTGATTCTTTGCAATATTTTTCTTTTGTTTCTGTTTTATTGATTTCAACTCTGAGTTTGATTATTTATTGCCATCTTCTTCTTTTGATATTATTTCTTTTTTACTTTAGAGCTTTCATTGTGCTATTAAGTTACCAATATGAAATTTCTCCAATTTTTATGTAGGTTCTTAGTGCTATGAACTTGCCTTTTAGAACCACCTTCATTGTGGCATATAAGTTTGGCTATATGGTATTTTTATATTCATTCAATTCTAAAACATTTTTATTTCTATCTTAACCCATTGTTTTTATTCAGATGGGAGTTGTTCAGTTTCCATCAATTTGTAAGCTTTCTGTTGATTTTATTGTTGTTGATACCTAGCTTTAATTTGTACTGATCATATAGGATGCAACGTATTATTTCAGTTATCTTGTATCTGTTGGTACTTTGTGTTCAAGTATATGAACAGTTTTGGAAGAAGTTCTATGAGATGTTGAGAAGGTGTATTCTTTTGTCTGTGGGTGAAATGTTCTGTAAATATCTATTTTTTAAATAGGAGCATTTGATTTATGATGTTCTGTAAATAGGTGTATTTGATTTATGAAATCATTTAGCTCCATGATTTCTCTGTTTAGGTTTTGTCTGAATGATCAGACTATTGATGAAAATGGGGTATTGAAATCACCCACTATCAGTGTGTGAGGGTCAAAAAGGGATCTAAGCTGTAGTCATCTTTCTTTTATAAACTTGGGTGCCCTTGTCTTTGGTGCATAGATGTTAAGAATTGCAGTGTCCTCCTGGTAGTATTACCTTTGATGGGTATGTAGTATCCTTCCCCATCCCATGATTAGCTTTGGTTTGAAGTTTATCTTGTCAGATACTAAAATGACTATACTGACTTATTTCTTGGGTCCATTTGCTTGGACTATCTTTTTCTATTCATTTTATTCAGGTAACATCTATCCTTGATGCTCAGGTATGTCTTTTGGATGCAGCAAAAAAAAAATGGATTCTTTTTTTTTTTTTAATCCAGTTTGTTAGTTTGTGTCTTTTGGGGTGGGGGATTGGGATCATTGTCAATGAGCATTGTCAGTGAGCAGAGATTGGTGATTCTGAGAGTTGTGTTGGGTTTGCCCTCTTCTTAAGATTTGCTGGTCTGTGTTTTCTTGGGTGTGGTTAGCATCTTCAGGTAGATATTTTCCTTCTAGTTCTTTCTGTAGGACTGTATTTTTAGATACATACTGATTAAATTTTGTTTAATTACTGAATGTCTTTCTTCTCCATCTCTTGTGCTTGACCATTTTTCTGGGTGTAGTAGCTGCCAAGGCTGGCGCCTGTGGTCTCTTTCAGTCTATAGAACATCTGTCCAGGCCCTTCTGGCTTTTAGAGTCTCCATTGAAAAGTCAGATGTTATTCTAGTTAGTCGGCCTTAATATGCTACTTGGTCTTTTCCCCTGGGAGAATATTTTAATATTCTTTCTTTGTTCTGTATGTTTGGTGTTCTGGTGTGTGCTATGGTGAATTTCTTTCCTGG